ATAGTGTTCTGGAGGATGACCTCTGGACACTCCCTGCTTCTTGCTAAGTGTTAGGGCAGACAGCACCCTGAGAGGTGAGTTGGCTCCATCTGCAATTTGGAAAAGTATAAAATGGTATCAATCTTGGAAAATGAAATAAGGTTTCTTATGTGCTCATAAACACAGCTGATAGAAACAAGGAGAGCCACCTGATTCCAGACAGATACCTGTCAAATCTTTCGGAAGGTGAGGAGGAAAGACTGTTGGGGGTGGCTACTGTTGGGGTCCAGCTCTCTGGAACAAAGACTGGGTCTCTTTACTTCTTCTGCCTCATTCAGTGCTGGACACATCTTAGATGCCCACTTAGAGCCTTTGTGGGCATGAGTGAATGAATAAACTCCAAAAGGGCTTCATGGATTGCTGGTAGCTTCAAGCAGATCCGCAGCCTTTTGAAGCTTAACTTACAAATTTAGCAGAGCATCATTTTGGCTCTGTAGCATTCCTGGACCCATCTCACGTTTTGGTAGTTTGTTGTTTTCTTTGAAACAAAAACCACTCTTTGAGACCTGAAACCAGAAAGTACTTGTGCAGCTCTTGCTTGAGAAATACTATTGGTGGCTGCAATGTCTTTTTATTCCCAGAGTTTTCTTCTCTCAGACTCCTTGCTATGAATATTAGTCTTCCCTTTAAAATACCTTCAGAATTTTAACATTTACATTTTTATATGAATTACAGCACTTAGCATGTGAAACGTATTCAAAATCCACACCTATTTATTTTCTGGATAATAGACGCATAATTTCTTATGGACTAAGTAGAAAAAAAATAGAAGAAAATTCACATTGTAACTTTGTCACAGGAATGTCCTTGAGGCTATTGGTATTTTTAAGAAAAAAAGAAAGATCTATTTGTCTCATGCTCGAAATAAGAATGGAAGGGGGACACAGGCACTTTCTTTGATTACAAAGGAATCATAGTTTGTGTCATCCAAACATTTTTTTCTCTCTCCCCTTTCTACCAACCAATGAACAGAAGAGAACAAAACAAAAATTCTAAAAACAAAACAACAACAATAATAGCGGCATCGACAAAAAAAACAACGAACAAGAGGATTTAGGGGGAATGGTACCAAAATTAGATCAGCAAATGAGACTGAGAATTTCACGTGCCTTATATAATTCTAAGAAAGAGATGTTTTATATGTTGCTATCAAAGGAAAGTGGGAGAGAAAAAAAGAAGACCAGGGAAGAAAAGCAAAGCAAGGAAAAAGCTCCTGGACTGGGCCATTGTTTCTCAGCAGGGACACCGCGAGCGTTTGGGATCAGGTGGTCAGTCACATTTTACAAATACAATAAAAAATTCTAATAGACGCTGAAAATGGGTTGGACTCCTTTTGATTAGTTGTACATTTTATCCCCACTTCCAAAATTCCTAATGTTTTAAACTTTTTTAAAAGAGGATATCTTCCTGTTATAGTTTATAAATGTCTCAAAGTGTGGGTGTAAGGCAAACCATTCCAAATTTACCCTCAGAGAAATATTCTTTAATTTTGACTGTTCTGGTTCTCCATTTGACTTTTGCATGAGAATCCTCAGCTCTTTCTGCTCTTCTGTCTTTAAAAGCACACTCCATCGGAGTAAACAAATTCATTCTCATGGCTTCATTGCTGTTTATGGCCTAGTTTTTATACCCATCACTGACATTTCAGCTACTCCTCAGCAACATGTCTTCACCAGGGGTAAGAATCTGAATTTAGACCGAATTACTTCATCTAAGAAAAATAGGATAAAAATTGAACTCAACTACTTTTCTTTAGCTCCTTTAATAAAGTCAATGACACCGTTGATTGAATTTCTTAATTTCACAAATATTTGAGTGGCTATTTCATACCTGTGAGGCCAAGTTCTAGTACCAAACAGAGTCCCCGATCTCATGGAGTGTTATAGTCCAGGGGTAGAAATGTATTAGTAAAATAATCACACAAATGTATAAATGACAAATAGCGGTAAAAGCCATGGACAAACTACAGATGCTTACAAGTGTATGATGTAGATACCTCAGTCAAAAATTATTTTCAAGGCTGCATTTCCCTTACTTCTGTATTTAATCAATTACTAAGACCTATTGGCCACACTTCTATTTTTAAAGTTGTGACCCTGCTGGGGGCTTTCCATTTCTGACATTCGGAGAACTCCAATCGCGTTCTCGCTGGCCTCTGTTGCCAACTATCAGCCTATAACTGCCATATTAATGTTCTTAAATGTCCATTTCTATCACATCACTCTCCAATTTGAGAATTTTCAATGGTCCCCTAAAGTCTATGGAATCAACTTCAGGCAGATTTCTTTGCCTAAATGCTTTCAATGGACTCATTCAAAACATTCTATCACTACATTCAGCTTTACTCATGCACTCCTCCACACACAGTGCTGCCTTCCTTCTCTTTTTTTTTTTAACTTGCTATTTATAGATGTTCAGGATTTTCAAATTGTGAACCTTGAAGGTAGGGGAGTAACAGGAGAGGAATAAGGGAAGAGGAGAGGGTGAGGAGTGGGCTCCGCATTGGATTTCTGTGGAAGATTTCATGGGAAGAAAAGGGCCCAATATTAAAAAAAACACTTGAAGATCTATGTCATTGAAGTTTCCAATTAACATTCATCTTTTCCACATTGACTCTTCCCTCTACCTTGAACACTGTACTCCTGGGTGTGATGCACTTGCTTACCTATTGCCTTGTGTTGTGTTTTTAATAAATTGGCCTCCTTGAACCCTATTTTTACATTTCTTTTGCATTCCCCTGGTATGTGCTTTATCTTGGTATAAAAGAGTGAATAAACCAATGCACACGTGAATACTCTATGGTTATTTCAGCCTGCGGAAAATGTCTGTTTTTTAGGTTATGTTTTCAATCCTATTCTCCATTTTTGGCAACCATATAAATAGAAATAATATCAAAAGTGGCGTTCTACCTGGGTTCCTGTGTTATATGAAAGTTGAGTCTATATAGATATTCAAAAACTAAGGGAGAGAGAGGACTGGTGAGAAGAACTGAGAATGTTTTCTCTGAAACTCTTCACTCACTGGGATTGACCTCCTGCCCTGCTCTGTCCTCTTTGCTCCCCCCAAGGTATACACAAGCCTGTTAGCTAATCTGTGATATGGAGTTTCAAACTTTGTATCTTACCTCCCTTAGGGCAGAATGGAAATCTCTTGTAAGCCCAAGATCTAATTTGGTAAAATTGTAATAATGTGAGTTTAATTGGATCACAAATATTGTTAGCACTTATTATTCAAGCCTGTTCCTGAGCTATAAGAGGACACTGATATATCCCAAATTCCCAACTGGGAACAAACAACAGAGAGAACAAGTCCCTGCAGTGGCTTCTCCACTGAGCCCAAAAAACCACATCTGATAAGCTATGTAATTTGCTATAGCAATTTGTGCCAAAAATAAAGGCACACTTTTGCAGAGTCGCACATTTCTAAGAAAAACCGAACTCCGCCTCATGCTAATCCAGCTCCTTTTCTTTTCTCTTTCGAACTTGATGTTTGTGGCTAAAAACTACCAGGTTGCGTCTTTGTCCCATGCATCTATTCTCCTGGAGTCCCTTGGCCAAATGGCGAGGCCCATACCCTGCTAGTGCCCCCAGGCCTCTCTCACTGTCACATTGAAACATGAAGGGTGAGCAAAGGCACCAGCAGTGGTCTGTTTTACAACACCCCAATAACATGATGTCTTTAACAGCACAGCAGATTCTTGGCTGATGGCCCTGGTTAAAGGAAGAGAGGCACAGAATCTTCGAAGTCATCAATTTTAATGAGTACGGCAACTATTCCAGTAAACTAGATCCCTTTATTTTTGTTTGCTTGACAAAGAAACCTGATACATCCAAGACATTTATTCCTTTTTAGTTCAGCACCAGGACAGGAACTCGTTTTTTCACCACCAGTATTAAGCCCCCAGTGGTGATAAAAATTCCTGTGCAGTCTTTTGGAGGCAAAGAATAAAAGAAGCTACAAGGGGGAAGAAAACACCAAAACAAAACAAAACAAAATACACACTTTTGAAAAAATTCAGGCTTTTTTTGGCTCAGAGTTTAAACATGAATTGTTTGAGTTCCCTTTCAGAGTTGGAGTAGGCCAATGTCTCTTATAAGCTTGGATAGTTTTGTGGAAGTTACAATAGAAATAAGAAATTTTATCTGCATTTTCAAAGACAAAGGATACTCAGTATGTGTGTGTTGTGTGTGTATAGAGGAAGATATGGGCAGATAAATTAATCCAGAAGCAGATGAGACTTTGCCTAATTTATTTATAACTTAATTATTAAAATATTTTGAAGGAATATTCTGAATTTTCTGGGAAAGTCACACTAGAGGTACTAAATAATTCCTAAGGTTCATAGTGAGATAAACAACAGGAAAATTGCTTGAGATGTTTGTGTATCAGAGAAAACAACAACCTGGCTTTTGCCTCTAATCTTTTTCATCTTTGTGCAAACTCAATGAACTCTCATTCCAGATCTGAAGGCAACAGGCAGGCATTTGTTTTAACTCCTTAGGTAAACTCATGTTCTAGAATCGTTAAAGTTGAAAGTCCTTGTACAATTGCTAAATTACACTGCTCATTAGTAAGGGATTCATAGTAAGGGCAAACTGTGCTATCTCTTATGAATTTTTCAATCAAAAGAAAAATCCTCCTCTTTTCTGTTAAAAAAGTTTAAATACAGGGGAGAAAAACAACTCAGAAAAAAATTACGCAAATGGCAAGGTAGTGACAGGGCATCTATCAAAGTGGCTCTGGAAATTCCAATTTTTAAAGTGCTATAAAAATATCATTATTAATGATGATTGACTGGGTTTTCAGAGCCAAGATATTTCAAGGCTGCTAAGTTAGAGTGGAGTGCAAAAGCGGGGGTGCTGAAATGGCTTCAGGGTTCCCTCACTTTGTTTCTTCATTGATTTTTAAGTAACATGTGAGTACACTCAAATTGATGATTTTCATTTTGAATTAGTTTGGCCTCTGTCATGGAGAGCCTTCCATCTTCTCCTGAATGTCAGTGTCTAATTCATCTTCATCAAGTCCCCCCGCAGGAAGATTTGGATCTTATTACTTTTTGTTTTACAGTTTTATCTTTTACAGGAAATTGGGACTCAGAGAAAAAGAAAGAGGAATCTGCCCACTTTTCAGTCAACTTACCCAATGGGAGAAGACACACCTTCCCATGTGGATCTTGTAGAAGCTTCTGGAGGGGTCAGTCCCAGGAAGTGGGAGAGTTGACACCATAATCCAGGGCTCCTTTGAGATATTTTTTTGTTTGCTTGTTTTTGCTTCTCTCAGATTCCTGAAAAGTCTTAGCTTCCCATCTTTGTCAGTTGGATGCCTTTGGTCTTTAAGGACCCAGATGTCCTCTCCTTTTTACAGATGGAGAGATGAAGGCTAATTTAGACAACGCATACAGGACTGGCAAAACCATATTAGACTTTTGGTATGGTTAATTGTTCCCATGAAAGTCTTACATTTTGCATTGTTTTCAAGTCACTGCCAAGGCTGAGGAAAATGACAAGGATGGTTTTGTAAAGTGTAATGAAAATGTGCGTGGAGAACATCACAGACAGATTGTCCTGTGTAGTGTTTAGGTAGGGCCCAAGGTCCAATTTGGGGAGCTTCCATGAGGACGTGGGGAAAAACATGTCAACGCTGACAGAAGCAATTGCTGACTGAGCAAAAATGTTCTCCTCTCTACTCCCTAAAGCTTCCTAACTCTCATCCATCTGCTTTTAACCAGAGCCTTGGGCACCCCACCTGAAGACTCACATTTTCTCTGGTCCCCGGGGAAGACACCAGTTTGCTCAGTGACAGTGTGCCAAACAGGGAAAAAAAAAAAAAAGAAGAAGAGCTTCAGCAACTGTGAACCAGGAAATTTTTTGTTTGTTTGTTTTTTTAAAACAAGATTTGCCAATCTCGCCAAGAAATTTTGTCTAAGTTGCAGCCTGGCAGCCTTTCTAATCGCTCATCATTCTTTTTCTGAATCCCGCATTTTCATGGGGGGGGAGATAATCTTTGGCATTATCCTCATTGGCTTGGCTTAGCTCTCAGTCCCTTGGGGTCCTGTTGCCTCTAGAAACTTTCAACTTCTAAATCCAGCGCTGGCTCACCCAGGAAAGGAACAGGCAAATTGAACAATAAAATTCAAGCCGTAGCTTCCGTTGTGACTCAAGAGCAGAAAATGTTTTTAATGTCCAAGAGCACATAAGTGGCATTAATCATCAAGAATTTATTATTTCTCATTGGGGGCCCCAAAGAAACACCATTTTGCCCAACTCCATTATTATCTGGGATTTGAAAAGCTTTTCAAAACCAGTTGCCTGATTGGATATTTACCTAAGGTTGAGCGTTTCAGAAGTTCTTTCATAGAAATTATATATGCCCCAAAAGAGAAAGTAGTGTTTTTTTCTTCCTTTCTTTTCTTTTTCATTTCTCCCTTGTGTTTCTCTTCCTTTCTTTAGTGACCCTTGCTGTGTCAGCCTTTCTATGCATGATCAGTTTGCTGTGATCTATGGAGAACTCCCACCTCAGGAATTTGAAGCCTGTGGTAAGTCTTTTTGTTTTTTGAGTCTAGGCTATAGATTACTTTTGTTTTGAGAAAATCTTAGGGGCATGTAATATAGTCACAATTTTTTATTCTTTGAACTGCATAAATGAATTAGACCACTTTGTGGAGGAGGGATTTTTGCAATCATAAGCTCAGGATACTTTTCTGAAATATTAAGTATTATTTGGGTGTTCACACAATAAGTTGATAGGATCGATCCTTCCTTCCTTCCTTCCTTCCTTCCTTCCTTCCTTCTTCCTCTTCCCTTTCTTTCTTTCTTTCTTTCTTTCTTTCTTTCTTTCTTTCTTCTCTTTCTTTTCTTTTTCTTCTGACCTTCCTAGTGCAGTAAATAAACATTGAAAGAATGTTATAAATTCATCTGTTGGTAATCCTTAAACTGCATTAGAATAATTGATTTGGGGAACCTAAATAAATATTTATCATAACAAACCCACGTTTCTCATTTCATGTGGAAGGGAGCTGCATTTTCCTTCATGCACAAGGATCATATGAAAAGCTTATGTTAGAAGATAGGAGCTTCAAATCCATTCTCTGGTTTTGGGGGACATAACTTCTTGAGATAGCTAGACTACAGTTCAACTAGAATATTTAAGATGCAAGTAAGAATTTTTTTAAAAGTTTCTTTTTCTGAGTTAGGTTTAATGACTTTACTAGTGCAGAACAATGTAATTTCATATGCTCCATCCCAAGAGGGAACTAATGGAGGAAGACTACTGTATTTGTTGAAAGCCTATGGTCTGCTGGGCTCCATGCATATTCTCCCCACAGCCCTACAAGATGAGTATCATTATCCCTATTTCACAGATGAAGAAACATAGGATCAGAGGGGTTAGGTGATCTAACCAATGTCAAACACAAATAAATAGCAGCATTAGGAAGATCTATGTGACTCCAAATCCACGCTTTTTTTTTTTCCATTATAACCTATTGCTTTCAAAAGGTGAGAAGGCTAATTTAACATCTACCATTACTGCCTGCCTACACAAGAAAATGCACAGAGAATACTAACTCTTCTAATGGTCTGGCAACCAGAGGTGGAGGCCATTGCCTTTGGCTAACCCATCTCTCTAAGAATCTTGAATATGAACAAAGTGTCTTCTTCTCTTCACCGTATTGCCGGAGGGAAATGAGCAGTTCAGAGAAGCCACTCCAGAATTTTGGCCAGTTGCTGAGTGTTCAGGCTGAGGAGATGAAGCATATGCAAACACTGTGGTGTCAGGTGCAGTGAAATAAATCAGAATCAGCCTGAGCTTTCCTATGATCTTCAGTTGTGGTCTTTTTACAAGGCATTGAATCAAGACAACCTCAATTTACAGGATCAGAGTAAGTTCTTGTTGGACAGGAGTGGTTTTGGCCCGAAGTGTAGTTGTAAAATAGACTTATTTTCTGGCTTTCCATTCATAGCTTTTGTCTCTATTATGGAAATTCCTCTTCCATCAGCACACTGGACCTTCATACTCTTTCCACTTTCCCCTTAACGCAATCTGATCTGGTGAGCTATCACCTGGAAAAAATCTAATCAATTATATCATTACTTGCAGGAATGACTCTGATGGTGGAATTTCAAGAATCAAGGGAGGCAAGTGAAGATGAAACTTCAAAGCAGCAAAGGTTTCTTAACACCCTTCGATGTTTAGGACATAAGTGACCACTTATTTATGAGCTGTTCATGGGTTAAGACTGATCCTAGAGGTTGATGGAAGAAGGCTAATGTAAGTGGCTGAAGGGTGCTTGACTAGAGTGTGCCTCTGGGGAAAACAAAAAACAAAAACCCTAGAGTCCTTTTGCTGGCACATTGTTGCTCTGTTATCTTCCAACACACTCTACTGTGGAGTCTGGCATTTGTATTGAAGCTGACTGTGGGGGTGGGGATTGCTGAGGTTGGTGGGGGAAGCATTTTCTTTCCTGCAGCTGGCTTCTCAGCCTCTCTATAGGAAAGCCAAGATGATTCCTTTGGTCATTGTAACTTGGTCAGAGATCTTTCCTAGAGGAGAAAGAGTGATTGTGAAGATGGATGGCCTAGGCAATGCAGTAGAAAAAGGTAGCACATTTTTAAAAAAGTAGTCCACTGACTGGCTGTGATGACAGGAGAATCTAATGACGTTTTCCTAAAGCTGTTTCCAGATCTGTGGAAGCTTTATCGAAGTCCAAAACTTTTGGTTGTAGAGTTCGGGAAGTTTCCTGGAGTGCCAGCAATTTATCTCTCCTCTTACTTAACTGTAGATACTTAGGGCAGAAGTACATTGCCAATTTATAACATAGAAGCGTCTGGCACTTTTTTTTTTTTAATTTTAAAATAAAAACAATCCCACAGCATTTATTGTCCTCTGGTAATAACATAAAGGTAATCAAAACAATACAAACAAGGGTTTTAGAACTATATTCCCAACAAAGGACATCTAAAAAAACAAACTACGTGGCCTTCTCAAGATTTTCTCACTTCACTGATCATTCTAGTTGGAGACACTTTGGAGCAGGGGAATATTATCTCCTTTTAGGATGATCCGACCCAGTTGTTTTCTTGACTTTGTTTTAGAATGAATCTCTTCGGCATCATCTAATACAAGGTTCATGTACTCATCAAAACCAATGATACAGCCCTCTATCCGCATGTTTACTTGCTCATAAAGCCACACCTGAATCCGAGATCTATTTTGCAAGTATCTGAAGATGAGGTTGATGGGCTGAACCATTACCTTCTGCACTTTTTGGCCCTGGCCACGGTATGCCATGGTGGAAGCTGACAAAGACCGGTATATAAAAACGTTTTCTAAGACGGAGAGATCTTCTATAGACATTTCAGAAGAAGCACTACTATTTTATCTAGAAGGTGAAGAAATACTGAGCGCAAAGCCACCATTGCAATCTGTGGCAGGTAGGTAGATGATATGCTTCTTTTTGCTTGAGGGGTTGGCCAACAATGTTTGAGGTAATTATAACTTATTTCTTGCTTAAAGGAAAAGGTGAAAGGACTTGAGGAACACTACTGTGTACTCCACACTGTGAGAAGGATGTGTTGAAGAACTAACACACAAAAAAAAGCTAGATTAAAAAAACAAGGGGGAGGAAAAGGGAAATGTTTGTCAACAAGTAGATGTGATGAACTAACTATCTTTTCCCATTGGTAGAAATTAGGCTTATTCATAGTTCTTTTTGATTTGGTTTTTAAATTTGCATCCTTCTGTTAGAGCATTGCTCTAGTTGTTTTATACCTATTTCTTTAAGTGTGCCTACCCCCGCTATGTTGTGAATTACATGAGGCCATGCATTTTCTTGTCTCCTATCCTTAGCATCAAGCTGGATACAGAATAGATCCTCAACAAGTGACTCATGAATGACTGAAATTATTTTTTACACTATAGAATTTTAGTTCTAAAACAGTCACTTCCCTGGGAATGGGACACCCCTGTGGGTCATCTCAGATAATTTAGGAGGTGAGTAGAAGTATAAGCTGATCTGCGTAGGGCTAGATTATTGACTAGTTAAGGAACAAAACCTCTTTTACCATAAATTGACAATTTGAAACATGAATATGATGAATTTAGCCAAAGATGATACCTTGAGGCAAAGAAGGTTACACAAAATCGAATATTATCACAAGAATAAGATTCCAGAAATACATGTTTCTAGCAGGGCTGGCTTCATGGGAGTGCAGCCTATGTAGTCACATGGAATCCTATAGTCAGAGGCCCTGCATGTGGCCTATGGTGTCCGATTGCAGTCTTGAAATTCTTAATTTTTTTTATTTATTTATGATAGTTACACACACACACACACACACACACACACACACACAGAGGCAGAGACACAGGCAGAGGGAGAAGCAGGCTCCATGCACCGGGAGCCCGATGTGGGATTCGATCCTGGGTCTCCAGGATCGCGCCTGGGCAAAGGCAGGCGCCAAACCGCTGTGCCACCCAGGGATCCCCGAAATTCTTAATAAGTTTTGAACAGAGATCTACAATTTCATTTTTCATTGGACCCTGTGAATTCAGTAGCTAGTCCTGGCTACTAATAAGATGATGGGAACCATGAGGGCCATGATCAGAGAAGCTGCACTGGATAGTATCTGAGAAGAGCTAGGGAAGAAACAAGCACAGGTTATAAGAAGAACTCATCTTACCTTGCCTCTGAGTGTGTTGCAGGCACTGTACAGGGCAGATTTCTCAGGAGGGTGAATGATAGGGCCACTGGTCAAGAAAGGATGGGTATCCTCTGGGAGAGGAGTATTCAGGGAGTTAAGAAGGAAGACCCTTTTCTCTGGGAGAATGGGAAAGACAAAAAGGAGAGCTTGCAGGATGGAAGACTGGGATAGTCTCAGAAAGAGGGAGGACATACCTGCAAATTCAGAATGAAATAACCTGAAGTGCAGAGAAGGAATCATTAGGTATTTCTATTTTCTATCCCCAAATAAGGCCCCACAGGAATGCCAGACTGATCAACCTGGGAAGCCCCACACCAGGGACAGACTTTAGGATGTGAAGTTGTAGAAGACACTAAAAATCCACAAAACTTCACCCTGGTTTCTCAGTATACTAGATAGAAAGGAAGCCAGTAATTTCAAGTTAAGGAAAATTTCTCAGAAAACTCTTAGATTGGGATGCCTGGGTGGCTCAGCGGTTGTGTCTGCCTTTGGCTCAGGCCATGATCCCAGAATCCCGGGATTGAGTCTCACATCGGGCTCCCTGCATGGAGTCTGCTTCTCCCTCTGCCTGTGTCTTTGCCTCTCTCTCTCTCTCTCTGTGCGTCTCTCATGAATAAATAAATAAAATCTTATAAAAAATTAAGAAAACTTAGATTTCTTGATTTTGTGGGGTAACTTCTTCACATTTGTTGTCATTAACCCATCCACTTCTCCATAGTAATTAATAATACTGTCTTAAAATGGAAGGCCTATGTACTTATTCTGGGCTGTAACAAGAAAGGGAGGAAGTGGGTGAGTCACACTGTACTCTGTAGGCAGAGCCTACCTTGGAAGGAAACAAATCATAGGACATAGTGTAGAAGGGTACAACTTTTCTCCTTCTTCTTTCTTTCTTCTTTTTTTTTTTTAGGTTAACTATCTGGGGCCTATAAGGACCTTGACAACTGTGACACAGCTGAGGATGAGCAAGAGGAAATTAAGTTGCATGGAAGTTTATGAGGTTCTTCTCCTGGAGGGCAATTCCAGACATACTCAAATAGAGGCATTATCCAGCCTCTAACAGATTCCAAGAGATTCCTAAGCATTAAAAAAAATGATGGAACTATTATCTCAATCAAATAAAACATACATATAGCTATTTGAACTCTCTGCTGGCTGGGAGGAGGTGGCCATGCATAAACCTGGCGTGGTCATGGGTCTATGCGCTATAACTTTAAGAACAGGCCTCCAGATAGGATAGGAGGGTCTGCCATGATCACCAACCTCACTGATCCCTGCTACTCTGATGGTTCTTGTGGGAACAAAAGTTGTAGTCACAGGATCTGCATCGTTAGGAGCAGGAAGGAAAGGGAAAACATTTAAGGTTGGGTGGGACTTTTTTTGTTTTCTTCTGGTTTGTGGTCACGACTCTGGAAGAGGAAGAAAGCTAATAGCTGGTTACATAGAAGGTATCTAAAGGAAAGAGTTTGTCTTCTGGATCATGATAGGAGTGTCCGTAGGATGAACTACTGAAAATGGAAAAGGACACTGGGTCAAAGTAGAAAACAGGTTTAACAAAGATGAATAGATAAAGGGCAGTGAGGAAGCCAAGACCAACTAACAAGTAGGTAATAAGGACAGTGGGCATGCCAGGAAAGGGTTTGTATATGGAGGTGGTCCTTAGTAATTGTCACTCTTTCATTCATTCAACAAATCACAGAGATATTAACTAAGAATGATATTAATGGGGGGCACCTGAGTGGTTCAGTCAGTTAAGTGTCCAACTCTTGATTTTGACTCAGGTCATGATCCCTACCAGGGTCATGGGATCGAGCCCTGCATCTGGCTCTGTCTTGAGCATGGAGCCTGCTTGATATTCTCTTTCTCTCCCTTTCCCTTTGCCCCTTTCCCTTCTCTCTCTCTCTCTCAAAAAAAAAAAAAAAAAGAATAAAAGAATAGATATGACCTTAGGAAACTATATATGTCAACACAGAAAAGGAGGCTGCAAAAGAACTCAAAGTTTTAGACCAAAAAAATAAATATAATGTTATTGAGAGGACTAAGTTTTAATGGGATAATACTCAGCCTAAAAATATGAAGACAAAAAGATACTTTGTTCAAAAACTGATATGATAGAAGGAAAATAGAGTAGTGCTATGTATAACTAAGGTGTACATCTAGATGGAAACAAAGGTCGAGCAAAAAAGAACTCAACCAATTTACTGTCATAAAATTATACATCACTTAGGCCCCTCAGGAAGAGGAAAAATACAGATATTATGTTTTTAGGGTTAAATGTCGGTATGAAGTAACCCTTTGCAGTAGTGAGAGAATTGATTATCTTTTGGAAAATTAATTTTGATAAAATTAAAGTACTTGATAAGGGCTTCACTTTTAACATTCACATTTTTAATCCTCAAAATGATGTCTCTGGCAAGGCCAAATTGTTGTTGTTGTTGTTGTTTTTTAAGGCCAAATTGTTATTGGTTTGTAACAAGATCAAAGCAAGTATTTGCATACTTTTATAGAAGTTTTGTCATCACAAGATTTTTATTTTATTTTACAAAATTAAAACTGATCCTTTACTGCAGATACTTGAGAGGCACTATCATAGTTCATGATAAAATAGAATTCATAAAATATACTGCTTTTTGGAATACAGCTCATTAGGAAAAGGAACCTAAAGGGGAAATGAAAGAATGGGGGAATTTGAGTATACATTTGGCTACTATCCCAATGGGATAAATGAGGAAAGTCATCTCAAAAGCAGTGTGATTACATTAGCAGCTCTCCCAATGAGTAAAAGGGGTGAACCCTGTTTATTGAGAATCTGTTATATAATGGACAGTTCTATTTAAATTAACCTATTTAATCTTTATCCTTTGGATAAGTGAAACCATTCTAGTTTTTACGGAAGGGAGACATGAGACTCAGTGACTTTAATGGGTTGATGGTGGCCCCCCCCAAATGATATGTTCACATCCTAATCCCCAAAATCTGTGAATGTATGGCAAAAGATGGCCATCTTTTATATGGCAAAAGATGTAATTAAGTGAAGGATCTTGAGAAGAGGAGCTTGTCATAAATGGGTCCTAAATGTAGTTACAAGTATCCTTATAAGGTAGACACACAGAGGAGATACCTTATATCCTTATAAGGTAGACACACAGAGAAGAAAAAGAGGCGACAGGACAGTGGAAACAAAGATAGGAGGTGGTCATAAGCCAAGAAACGTCTGAGCCATGAGAAGCTGGAGAAGGCAAGGACAATCCTCCCTAGAACCTTTGGAGGGATTGTGGCCTTGCAGACACTTGGTTTTGGCTTCTGGCCTTCAGAATTGGGAGGGAATAAATTTCTGTTGGCTTAAGCCACCTTGTTTGCAGTAATTTGTTACAACCACTTAGGAATATAATATAGTGACTTAAAGAAACTTTTGGAAAATGAAAAATCTATTATTTAATCTCTGGTCTAACTCCAAAGCCTTTTACTGCGACCTATCACATAGCAGCCTTCCAGACTTTATCATGCTGGGAACAGATGATGAGAAATATGTTGAAGGGATGGTGAAAGCATGGAGAAATAAAATGCATGACATAGTGTGATATACTAGGCAACAATGCTCATTCCTCATTCCTCTACTCCTTGTACTTGGCTTTCAAAGTCTGCATTCTCTTAGCTGAACACTAAGTGTCATAAGCCAAATTAACA